TATGTAAGGTTGGTAATGTGCTCTCGATGATACCAATCGTGGGAGTTGTGCTATATCCCAGATTGTTATTCCTAATGCTGACGACAACCTACAACATATGGTGGCAATGAAAGTTCATGATCAACATGCTGGACATCCGGGTCGTGTTACGTTGCTACGCTGGATATGGAGACATTATTATTGGCAGCATATGGATAAGACCGTGAGGCGTATTAATGATCACTGCGTTGGTTGCCAGAGTCGTCGTATTGCTGCCAACCGCCGTCGTGCACTTTCATCGCGTCCTCCACCATGTAGTGTCCAGTATGGTCCCTTTGCCATCGCATATTTTGATAGTATCGGTCCTTATAAGTTATGTCGATCTGAGGAGTCGAGTGGTACTACACCTCCCTTGTATGCATTTACTCTCTGTTGTCACTCTAGTAAGTTTATCAAAGTTGTCCCCTCTGATACTAAGTCAGGCTGGGCTGCAGCACAAGCCCTTCATCAGATGCTCTGTGATGAAGGTGTGGTTAGACTTTTAGTTGTCGATCAAGGTCTACTGACGAAGGAAGTGGTTGGTGTTGCCAAGGATTGGAATTTTATGGTCATCCCGTCACCACCTCGGGGGGAGGAACTCCGTGGATGGGGTGAACGAGGCCATCGAGATCTTCATGCTGTGCTTCGTGGTGTGCTTTGGAGCCTGGGTAAGACTCCTACGAGGAACGAGTTCATACGTTTGCTGTCCCGTGCAACAGCTGTGGTTAATACTACTCCGTACGTCGACTCTTCACCACTCTCTCCAGCTATCGTTTGTCGTGGTCATACGAGAACTCCATCAGATCCGTTTGCCTTGCAGGAGTCTCGTGAGATTAAGGATGCTGTTCTAGAAGGGTTAGAACCACCAAGTTGGTGGGACGATATGACCGCTGATGCCTATATGAGTGAAGTTCAAGATGGTAAAGATATAACCCTTCGAGAGTTGGCTGATGTTTGGTGGTTGCGTCGACGTGCTGTTCGTGAGAAGTTGTTGTCTCGTAATGCTCGTCATGCTGGTCGTGGGTTAAAGGTTGGTTGTAAGGCATATCGTTGGAGGCCTATGATCGGTCAGTTTGGTAAACTTAATACTGGTTGGGAACCATGCACTATTCTGGCTGCCCCAACGGATAGTACAAGGAAGGTTAAACTTGAAGATGGCAAGGAAACTATTGAGTCTGTTCTGAATCTACGTGCTGGTCCTAGTGACTAGCACGGGCGGGAGTGTGCTGGGTTCAGCGGATTTTGAGTAGTTAGAATGTTGTAGTCACTCGAAGACACAAAAGACTGTTCTCCATAATTGTCTTATAATTGTGATGTAGCTGTGTATCTAGCGTCAAGCTAGTATGTCAGTCTGCTACGATTGAACTTCCATAGACCTTTTAAGCTGTTATTAATCTTACGTTCTACGTGAGACCAGACGGTGTTTCGTTGACTCAAAGGATATTGGAAAACCGTCATACAGGGCCCAGTATATTCCAAAGGAGCAGAGCACATGCCGTTGGACGTGTAACTCCATCCATCCTGAGTAAGCATTGCTAAGCAAGTACCCTTCCCTCAATCCTGCATCATGAACTTACTGGGCATGCGCGGTTGAAATCGGACTCGCACTGGTCGACACACGAATACTGTGAGCCACACTGACGAGCGACACTGCCCTTCTCAAGAGGGTCCAATCCTGCAAAGTTCAGAACTTGTGGGCATGAGCCAGAATAATGGTAAGGGGCGCGACAGTGTTTGCCATCCCCTTCTTCGCTCCATGATTCCTAGTCAATGAACAGGAGGATGCAATCGTCGCGTCTGCAGTCTTACTGGGCCTACGAGAAGCATACGTTTCCATAGTATTTCGTCCTACTATAGCACTACACAAAGAGTTATAGTTCCTTGTACAGAACAGGTCAGACGAGTCTATCTCATGACGCATGGCGAAGTCCGTGACACTATCACGATCATTTGAACGC